GGGGTAATCAATGGGTTAAGTGTGAGCCTAATGAGTGTTAATGTACGTATTATGTGCTGATTTTTACTAAAAATATCTTTGTTCTTTCTGCCTGCTTTGTTCCCTCTGTACAGAGCCCTGTGTTGATTGTCAACACAGGGCTCTGGGCTGTGATTGGACACAGCTGATCAGCAGGTCCTGCTGACAAACTCCCTCTGTGTGCAATCACAGCAAGAGACAGTGGGTGGGGGCACACTTTGCTCTGTACCCAGCGGCGTACAGGTACGTTGTTATGCCTGTATGGGCTGCCCGTCCACAGTACATTGCGGGTGGGCGGCCCTTAAATTGTCACTAAATCCAAGACCCTGCACTCACTATATCTGGTCTCACTCAGTAAACACAACATGGAAGTGCAATTATTTTAGTAAATATAAACTGCTAAATACCTTTTCTCATCAGCAGTTAGAGTAGCCTTGTGACTTCTATCAGCACATGTTAAAGCTTGTAGAAGGAGTTTTAATTTTGCTCTAGGCAAATGCAGAACCCCTGACCTCTGTCTGGACAGTGCTGATTGGCCCTGTGCTGATCGCATGCACTCTCCCAAGAAAAAAAAAAAACCTCTTTATCAATTCACACCAAACTGAGCATGTGCACAGTAACTTCACACAATATGTCTTATCAGGGATAAAAAGGGGACACTGGGAGAAGGGGAGGATCAGAGAAAACAGGATAAAACAGCCTTTTTACACAATGCAGAGGATTAACTCCTTAGGTCCCACAGTGAGTTTAACAAGAGGAGGACACTGGAAGAAGGGGAGGATCAGAGAAGTCAGGATAAAAACAACCTTTTTATACAATGCAGAGGAATAACCTATTAGGTTCCACAGTGAGTATAACAAGAGGGGGACACTGGATAAGGGGAGGATCAGAGAAGTCAGGATAAAAAGAACCTTTTTACACAATGCAGAGGATTAACCCCTTAGGTTCCACAGTGAGTATAACAAGAGGGGGACACTGGAAGAAGGGGAGGATCAGAGAAGTCAGGATAAAAACAACCTTTTTATACAATGCAGAGGATTAACCCCTTAGGTTCTGCAGTGAGTATAACAAGCAAGGTTCATTGCACTTAATTGAACAAGCTGAGGTTAGAAGCCGTTTAGCTACCGTGCAGACAAAAAAAATGGAAGCTGATTGGTTTCTATGCAGTGCTGCACCAGATTTTGCACTCTCCAGTTTTAGTAAAAAACAAAAAAGGAAATCTATTGAGCCATAAAAACTAACATAATAAACTTTACTGCATATACTGACTGCTTTTACTGTTGTGGGTTTAGTAACATTTTAAGTGATTATTAGGAAAGCAGAAGGACTGGCAGGAACACCAGGGATTTCATACAAAGGAAGCAACATAAAGGATACTATTTCATACAAGTACATGGTACAGCTAGTACATACAGTATCAGGAATATGAAATGTTGGGTTTACATATTTTGTAACATTCAGGATAAAGATCTCCATCTTCATTTCAGCTGTTTGATCAAATTTTTCAAATCTCATTGTTTTCAGCTGAAAATAACTGTCACTTATTCTTAAATAAGTATCCTCATCCTGGTGTTAAAGCTTTGTGAGTTGAGCCTTAAAGTGATATTACATTCAGAGTACCAACTTACCATAGATCATCCTCTTTTACCACATAACAATGATAAATGCATATATAACAGCTACAAATTGCCCCAAATTACTTGTTGAACAGTTCATAGTGAAATCTCTCGATCAGTCCCCACCTGCACACTGAGATCTGGGGAGGAGGAGCTAGAAAGTAGAAAGTCTTTCCCGCCTGCCTGCATAGCGCCGGTTAGTGATGTTGCAGTCACGTGTTAGATAAAAAATATTACGTATAAACAGTGACTAAAAAAAGGACACATAAACAGCGCTATGTCAAAACACAATGTCCAATTGATATAAAGTGATTAAAGAAAGAAAAAAACTTCTGCCGTTTCTTGTGCGTGGGGATATAGGCTGGTTTCATCCTATATATTTAAAAAATATGTGCCAAAAGACTGGCAGCGAGGCTATCTGAAGGAACTGCTGCCAATCACAATGTATAAACACAAACTCCAGGTGGGTCAGCTAGCAGGGAGAAGAGAAATCTGTCAATCATCCCTTCTAGATCTTCCCCGCTTGATGACGCAGTTGTGATGATGTGCGCAGAGGGTGGGAGGCAGGAAGGACACCTGCGTTTACGTGCTGGGGCCACCCCTAAGTCTGATGCAGGTAGTCACGTGGGGCAACTCTCAGATGAAAGGGAAAATGATGATTGGAATCCACTGGTAGAGCTAAATCCACTGATGGAGTATGTGCAATGGAGGTGGCAACGGTACAGCCAGAGAAGCGGCTTCTATCTCAATGCTAACAATGAGGAAAGACGTGAACAATTCTAAGTTTGTAATAAATGGTACAATACCTGATTTCAAAGCTAATTACACTTAGGAAATGTTTGACTTTAATGACACTTTAGAGCTGATTCATGCTTGTGCGGATTGAAGTTCAGGTTTCACAGCTAATTGACAAAGTAGTTGTTCAGCGGTTCAGGTCCAGTTTACATCAGGTTCAGGACAGGATCAGGTCAGGATTTTATCCAGTTCACACATGTCAGGTTTACATCATGTTCAGGACAAGATTAAGTCAGGATTTTATCCTGTTCACACATGTCAGGTTTACATCAGGTTCAGGATTTTTTATACTGTTCACACGTCAGGTTTACATCAGGTTCAGGCAGGATCAGGTCAGGATTTTATCCTGTTCACACGTCAGGTTTACATCATGTTCAGGACAGATTAAGTCAGGATTTTATCCTGTTCACACATGTCAGGTTTACATCAGGTTCAGGATTTTTTTATACTGTTCACACGTCAGGTTTACATCAGGTTCAGGCAGGATCAGGTCAGGATTTTATCCTGTTCACACATGTCAGGTTTACATCAGGTTCAGGCAGGATCAAGTCAGGATTTTATCCTGTTCACACGTCAGGTTTACATCAGGTCCAGGAAAGGATCAGGTCAGGATTTTATCCTGTTCACACATTAGGTTTACATCAGATTCAGGACATTATCAGGTCAGGAATCTATCCTGTTCACACATGTCAGGTTTACATCAGGTTCAGGACAAGATCAGGTCAGGAGTTTATCCTGTTAACACATGTCAGGTTTACATCAGGTTCAGGACATTATCAGGTCAGGATTTTATCCAGTTCACACATATCAAGTTTACATCAGGTTTAGGACAGGATCAGGTCAGGATTTTTTCCTGTTCACACATGTCAGGTTTACATCAGTTTCAGGAGAGGATCAGGTCAGGATTTTATCCTGTTCTCACATGTCAGGTTTACATCAGGTTCAGAACAGGATCAGGTCAGGAGTTTATTCTGTTCACACATGTCAGGTTTACATCAGGTTCAGGACAGGATCAGGTCAAGAGTTTATCCTGTTCACACATGTCAGGTTTACACCAGGTCCAGGACAGGATCAGGTCAGGATGTTATCCTGTTCACACATGTCAGGTTTACACCAGGTTCAGGACAGGATCAGATCAGGAGTTTATCCTGTTCACACATGTCAGGTTTACATCAGATTCAGGACAGGATCAGGTCAGGATTTTATCCTATTCACAACAGATGACATGTGCGGTTGAGAAATGGTTCCCATAGAAGTCAATAACCTGTAATTCACATCTGAACCGGACCGTAATGCTCAGAAATCGTACAGGACTCTTTTTCAATCCTCACTGAATCCTCACTGCCAGTGCACCAGACACATGTGAACAGGCACCATAGGAAGCAATGTTATTTCACATGTCATGCAATTGGATGCGGTTCAAATCACATCCAATCTGCATATATGTGAACCGACACTCAAAGTTGAAGTTCACCTTTTCCAGACAAAAAAAAAAGCCATGCAGTCAAGGGCCCCAGTAGCTAATAAAGATCTGTGCAGCTTTCTAAAATGTTCATTAATTTTATTATCATACCTGTAGGCCAACTGACCCACCCCAGAAGCCTGGTCAAAAAACACCAAGTTAGCAATACCCTTGTCCTGGCTTATTCTTCCTGTAATGCTGTGAATGAGCATCCAATGGTTTCCAAATCTTAGCAACAAGGCAAGACATGGGGATTACTAACTGGGAGATGTGAGCCAGGCTTCTGGGGTGGTAGCGGGGGCCAAAATAGCCTACAGGTATGACAATAAAATGAATGAACATTTTACAAAGCTGCACAGTTTATTCATGCCTACGTGACTGCTGTTTATTGGAAAATATTAACTGAAAGCTAAATCTTCTATTTTGGCAACAAGAGATTTGGTTACCTATAGAGTTCATTTACAGTTCTTACATTCTTTGGGGCTCAGAAAATCAATTGCATAGAAACTAGCCACTGGAAACTATTGACACATTTTGCATTCAGGTAACTGATAGAACTCTTGGAAGAAACCCAGAGACTGCCATTTCTTTCTTCACTTTCTGAAAATGCTAGTTGGCAGCTCTTTGCAACAGTGAAATGGAATAGGTATTCATATCAGGAGTTCTTACTTTGCCATGATTTCACCTGACCCATGCTAAGAGCCCATGCACACTTGTGCGACTTGCCATGTGACTTTGGGGTCCAAATGTTTCCCAATGAGTACTATTCAAATCTGTGTGACTTCAAGTCGCAGAGACTTAGAAGTAGTCCCTGCACTACTTTGGTATGACTTTTGATGTGACTTTAGTCCAGTGAATGTAAAGTTGGATCAAAGTCACACTGAAAATTGGTGTGAAGGGAGCCTTATTCTGCATCAGTGGCTCAAACTACAAAAGCAGTAGAAGGATATTAAAGTAGCATTTTTGAAAGAAGGTCAATAATGGCAATATATATTTTGTCAGTACTCTAGGCAGACACCTAAACCCAAGCTGACAGCTTGGGCAGAATTGTTTCTCCTTTGTGTCTACTTGCTATTTAATTCCTCATCATTGACATTTATCTTTCAGAGATGTGGTATTGGGTTTTCCTATGGGCCCTCTTCTCCTCTCTCTTTGTCCATGGAGCAGCGGGAGTTCTGATGTTTGTCATGCTACAGAGACACAAGCAGGGGAGACTAATATCTGTGGTCCTGGTCAGCATTGGGTTCCTGGCTTCTGTCACCGGAGCAATGATAACTAGTAAGTGATTTTTTTATTGCCATTATTTCAAATAAAAACTGATGCTCAAGAGATTCTAACATATTTTACAGATTTATATAAAAAAATTCGAAAACCTGCCTGCACTCCTTATTTAAATGAAAGTTAGGCCTTTCTTAATGCAAAAATTGTATTCTAATGCTAATCTTAAGGGCTCATGTACACGGGATGTTTGGAAAACCCTTCTGTACAATGGAAACTGACTGCTGGAAAACATAGGTAAAAAAACGTCAGTTTAGCCGCATTTGCATACCGCATTTATGCACGTTTGCATTTAGAAGCGTTTTTAAAAGATAACCTCAAGATTTTCCCAAATGCCTAGAATGCACTGAAAAATTGTAAAAAATTTCAGACATTTTGAGAGGAATAGAGAGAGCAGAAGCAGAGAGAGCAGTATGTGTTGAGATAACCTGTCTTTTTTGGTTGTATTCACTATGGATCCCATCATGAGCATAATGCAGCACGTTCTACCATTTTTTCCTTCACGTGAAACCTGGAACTGACTGCGCTGGTGTATTAGGTCCATTTGAATACATGGAAAACACTTTGCATGCATTTCTGATGATGAAAAAAGGCTCTGGACAGCATCTGGATATGGAACAGTTAAAAAACGCTTCTAAACACAAATGCTTATAAATGTGGTTAACCGCATTTACAAGCGTTTGGCGTTTGAAACACAAGTAAAATCTACTCCTAAACGCAAGTTTGGTGCTTAAAAAAAAATGACTGTAAACTCAACTGCCTGTAAACGACTGTAAACAACATAGTGTACATGGACACATAGGAAAACATTAGGGAGCGTTCAGGGGCTGCTAAAAAAAAAAAAAAAACGCTGAACAGCTGCTGAACGTCAGTTTAGGAGCTGCAGTGTACATGAGCCCCAATACTGTGTATTTGTGTGTGAAACTGTACTGGACAAATACCATCCAATGCCTGACCTCTTTCTTCCACCAAACACATAACATTAGCCATAGCAGACCGTACATTTTCAGGGCCCAAGAGTACCGTGAAATAAATTGATTACTCCAGGCAGTCAAGCATTGAAACATTGTAAGTACAAAATCGCACACTATAAGGAATATTTATTATTAACCACTTCTATACTGGCCACTTTCACCCCCAATTTTCAGATTTCAGCGCTGTCACACTTTAAATGACAATTATGCATGCAACACTCTACCCAAATGAACTTTTTATAATTTTTTTCACAAAAATAGAGCTTTCTTTTGGTGGTTTTTAATCACCACTGGGTTTTTTTTTTTAATTTTTTGCTAAATAAATGAAAAGAGACCAGATATTTTGAAGAAAAACACGTTTCTTCCATCAGTCCTGATGTACTGACAGCCTCATTTCTCAATGCCTGAAAATACCAGGACAGTACAAATACCCACCAAATGACCCCTTTTTGGAAAGTAGACAGTCTAAGGTAGTATGAGGCATGGTGAGTGTTTAAAGTTATAATTTATTATCACATTTTCTTGGAAAATGAAGAAATGAAAAAAAAAATGTTTTTTCACAATTGTTTTACATACTGTCACCAGTGCAGTACAGCGTCATCATATAACTGGAGTGGCAGTGATCAGTGACACTGACTGGTGATAGTATATAAGAAGGAAAAAAAAATGTTCTCCTTTTTTTTACAATTTATTCAGTATACAGAAATATAGAAAACATAACCCACCCACATGATGAAATTCTTTTGATATCATCAAATTATATCTTTTATCACCAGTAAACTCAAATTACTAGTAGAACCTTGTATACTCACCCCTCTAGAAATCTCCTGTGGGGCTACTGGGATGGTGAAAGGTCGTTTATCTAATATGTATGCTTTCCTTGTTGATCTACATATTAAGCTTTCTTATATGATACAGTGGGAAAGGGATTTGAATAGCTCTCTAGATTTGGACACTTGGCGGACTACAGCTAATGCTTTATCTAAAATTTTGATTAATACTACACTTATTGAATCTAACTATAAAACACTTCTTCTCTGATACTTAGTTCCTACATGTCTTGCTAAAATGTACCCATCTGTGTCACCCAGTTGTTTTCGACACTGCGGACAAGAGGGTACTATGCTCCACATATGGTGGAAATGTCCAGTGGTGAATAGATTTTGGATCCGTTTATTTAACTTAATTTATTCGGTAACAGGAATTAATATACACAGATCCCCTGAAGTAGCCTTATTTCATCTACGGCCCACTGATATTCCTAAGAATTCAGTTAAATGAATTCTTTATCTTTTGTTGGCAGCAAGAATTACTATAGCTAGATGTTGGAGACAGTCATCAATTCCGCTAGACTCGGTCAAAACAGAGACTTAAACTTACTAGTTATCGTATGTACTGTCCAGCGCCTCAGGATATGCACAGCCAAAAGGGAAGCCAAGGGAACCAGGACAGCAACAATCAAAGGAAATGCTTCAGGGGTGCAGCCCTCCTCAGACAGGGAGATCAGCCACTAGATAGAGAATAAACAAGTGGCGCACACACCTAGTGCATTATCCAAGGTTTATTGAAAGGAGTGAAAAATAAAAACATACTCACAGACGAAGCATGTATCTAAAAAGCATTTGCATAATGACGATGGCCACAATGGCAAGCAAGGTGTTCCAACTGTCAGTGCAGTCAAATGGCTGATGCCTGAGGCATCACCAGCAAGGCTCCCATCATCCATCCACTACACATCTGCACCAGAGGCTGGTCAGTAGCTCTGAGGAAAGGGTTTCGTCCCCGAAACGTGTCAGCCATTTGATCAATTTCTTCTTTATCCTCTTCTTCTATTCTTTTTTTTTTTATTTTTGGTTTCTTTATTTCTGTTATTTGGTTATATGATACTGCCCAATTTTTCTTCATCCTCTTCTTCTATTCTTTTTTTTTTATTTTTGGTTTCTTTATTTCTGTTATTTGGGATACTGAACCTATTGATTGATGGAATAATTGCTTAAACTCGACTATACCCTATTGGGGTTTATGGTTTATTGTTTACCACATTATTGGTCGAGGTATTATTATGTGCCTATATGTTTCATGATTCTGATTGTTTTGCTACAACTCATCATGTGGGTAGGTTATGTTTTCTATATTTCTGTATCTGTGGCTTTTTAAATTGTAATTAGTGTCAGTGTATAAATAGTCAATGAGTTTGTTAGCTCTTACGTGGAAGCACTGACTAGGCTAGATACTGAGCCATGGGGATCAGAAAAGAACTGTCAAAAGTCCTGCTTAACAAGGTAATGGAACTTTACAAAGATGGAAAAGGACATAAAAAGATGTCCAAAGCCTTGAATATGCCAATCAGTACTGTTAAATCACCTATTAAAAAGTGGAAAGTTCAGGGATCTCTTGATAACAAGCCAAGGTCAGGTAGACCAAGATAGATTGAAGCCATAACTTTTCCATCTTTATAAAGTTCATGGCCATTTGGGTGATTTCTTTTATCATTATGATTTTTAAAAAGGCCAAAACAACTATGTGATAATAAATGGCTTCATATGATCATCATCCTTCAATAAAAGAGCATTGTTTGGCATGATCAGTTATATTTTCAATATCAATGCCAAAATTTCACAATTTCTGCCAGGGTATGCAAACTTTTGAGCACAACTGTACATATAAAAAAAGTTTTTTTACTATTTTGGGCCAGTTTTCCTTTGGTAATACAAAAAAAAAAATAAGGAGATATCCATTACCATTTATCACCAAATGAAAGACCAATTTGTCCTGAAAAAAAACAAGGTATAATCCATCTGGATGTACAAAGTAGTTTGTGTTTATATGTACGGTTTTTGCTAACACATGTCAAAGTTGCAAAATTGTGCTTAGGTATTAAGATTTGTTTTACCCTTAGGCACAAAGGGGTAAAGGGCCACGTTTCTTTATAAACGCCTGATAAAATTGCATGGTCTTGGTCGGCATGTAAAACCTTAGTTGTGTGAATGCCCAAGCATTTGCACAGCCATCTCAAGTAATCCCCATAATGTGTCTAAAATGTGTATGTCATATGATCGTCAATTGTCAGCTCCATCTAGTGGCCCTAATGCAGTATTTCCTGATTGTGGTATTTCAGGGAAATAACACAATAGGACCACTAGGTGGAGCTGGTGATCATAGGAAAAACACATATTAGACACATTCCCAATGTTTTGTTTCTTTTCTTGGATTTCTTTCCTGATCTGGCTATAGTGTGTGTGTGTGGGGGGGGGGGGGTTTATCTGTCTAGCAGTATTTATCCTGAATGTCAAAACACTGTACCTGTGCACTCAGCAATTTTTTTTATAAGTGAAATACTTACTGAATTAATGAGTTGACCTACATTGTGTTGAGGACCTGTACTTTGGTTGTTCTGCTGTTTCGATTTTGAAGCATTCCCTTTTGTGTTATGCAAGTGACAGTGCTAATACTTATATCACTCTAATACTGACTGGACAGTAGAGTGGTGAAATGGAGGATTAGGTGGTGAGCAGGCTCCTATTTGTTTATTATTTGTAAAGTAGAGAACGGTAAAACCCCTTTTAGACTTTTTTTAAAACCTTTTATTTCCTGTTCTGCAGCTTTACCACAACGTAAAAATAAACCTCTCCAAAATAGGAAATTCCCTTCTCAGACTCTTGTAATTAGAAAAAGCATCCTCATTAAAACTGTTACCTCTTTTCTTAGGTGACAACCTAAAATTCTAGATAACCTCCTGTCTCCTAATCAAGGAAAAGGACAACAATAAAAACCTCACAGTGGTTAAAACCTTTCAATACTCGATCTAAATGAAAAAAAAAAAAGTTTTCACTGTAGATATACAGTACTTCAAAGGTAATAAAAGCACATGCAGCAAAACAAAATATTTTTCCTGATAATGATGTGTGACCTGCCAATGTGGAAGAATACGCAAAAGTGACTCGGGTTTCTCACGATTGCAAAGTGCGGGGCTCTTGAATATTGGTTCTGAGCAAAGAAAACTTGCTCCATGTCTCCATGTTTTGT